TACAGACTCAGTGTGAACAGATTGGAGTATCGATGACAGTTTGCTGGGGTTTTGGGTAGATTTAGCCAGTCTTTGAGCCCCTTCAGGGTTACCACCTGTTCGGTCAAAAGATCATGCCATCCAATTGGTTCCGGAAGCACAACCGCCGAACCCAGGCCTACCGGTATCCTTATTATCAGAAAAATGAAATAGAGCGTATTGTCAAGGAAATGTTGACCTCAGGAATTATAAACAAGCATCAGTCCGTTCTCTAGTCCTGTGTTTTGGTGAAAAAGAGAGATGGAGGGTGGAGATTTTGTGTAGACTTCGGGCAGTTAATAAAATCACAATTCCGGATAAATTTCCGATTCCCGCGATCGATGAATTGTTCGAGACGCTTGACGGGGCAACAGTATTTTCAAAACTGGATTTGAAATCCGGATCATCAAATCCGAGTGAAACCAGAGGATACACCCAGACCGCCTTTCGAACACACAGGGCACTATGATTCCTAGTAATGCCGTTTCCTCACCAATGCACCGGCGACCTTCAAGCGTCATGAATGATGTATTCAGGCCGTACTTAAGAAAATTTTTATTGGTGTTCTTCGACGATATACTGATTTACAGCCGGGAAATGGACGAACATGCGAAGCTCTGAGCATATTTGTCAGGTATTGTTGGAGACAGTTGGTGGTTAATCAAAAAAGTGTCAATTCGGACAGCTCCAATTAGAATACTTGGGTCATATAGTGTCAGCTAAGGGCGTGGCCGTGGATCCTTCAAAGATAGCTAGCATAACCAAATGGCCAGAACCAAAGGACGTCAGAGCACTCCGAGGCTTTCTGGGTTGACAGGATATTACCGCCGATTCGTGCGCGATTATGGTAAAATAGCTCTTTCCACTCACCACCCTACTAAAAAGGATTCTTTTGCATGGAATGCAGCAGCTCAACGAGCTTTCGAAGAGTTAAGCGCATCATGACCAGCGTCCCTGTACTCCGGATGCCCAATTTCACTCAAGAATTTATTATAGACGATGCTTCAGGCAGCGATTAGGGGCTGATTGATGCAAGAAGGGCGGCCTATACTTTCTCTCAGCAAGGGTTGTCTCTCAACTCTAAACTGAAATCTGTCTATGAAAGGGAATTATGGCCGTAGTCCTAGCTGTACAGAAGTGGCGCCATTACCTCTTGGGTAACGCTTTGTTATCCGAACAGATCCGGATCTCCATTTTTTAACGACCAAACTTTTAATGAATCGGCAGAAATGGGTTATCAAACTGTTGGGACTTGACTTCAATATCCATATAAACCTGGCCCACAAAACAAGCCGCGATGCTCTTTCCAGGATGCCTGATACGGTTGAACATCATGCCCTATCTGTGGGAGTTTTTCTGGATTAGCAGTCTTGAGATGCAGTTCAGCAGGATGCTAAATTAAGTGGGATTATCAACAGTTACTGATTGACCCGAACAGCCATCCTCGTTTCAAATTGGTGGGCCGCCATTTGCTATACAATAACAGGTTAGTATTACCTAATCTGGACCTCACATCCAAATGATACTCCACGAATTTCATACTTCCCCATTGGGGGCCACTCTGGATTTTTTCGCACATATAAACGGTCTCGAACGTGTTGTTTTGGGAAGGAATGAAGATATTCAGGCATTGTAGCGGCCTGCAGTGTGTGTCACACAAAAATATACATGCACTTAGTCCCACAGGTTTGCTTCAACCATTGCCGATCCCTACTCAGGTATGGGCTGATGTCTATGGATTTCATTCTGGGGTTACCCAAAGCAAATGGGGTTGATACCATTCTGGTGGTGGTCGATCGTTTGACAAAATACAGCCATTTTCTCACTCTTAAACACCCGTACACGCCAAGGTGGTGGCGATCTGTTCATAAAAGAAGTGGTAATATGCATGGTTTTCCCCGAAGCATTGTTTCCGACCGAACAGAATTTTCATGAGCAATTTTTGGGCTGAATTATTCAAACAGTCTGGGACACATTTACACATGAGTTCAGCTTACCATCCGCAGACAGATGGTCAAACAGAAGTGGTAAACCGCTGCTTAGGACTACCTTCGATGCTTTGTTAATAGCCACCCACAACAGTGGCCTAAATGGGTTCCCTGGGCAGAATTCTGGTTCAACACCACTTACATAGTTCCACAGGTATGTGTCCATTTAAGGCTCTCTATGGCCGCGACCCTCCAACAGTGCTGCGCTATGCTGACCACACATCTTCCGTTGAAGACGTTGACCAGCAACTTCAAACTACGAAACGGGTTCTTGAGGAGCTAAAGGCCAATCTTCTCAAAGCTCAAAACCGCATGAAAGTGTATGCCGATCGCCATCGCCGGGAAGTGACATTTGAGTGCGGCGACTCTGTCTATTTGAAGTTACAGCCATATAGATTACGTTCTATAGCCCCTCGGTTTAATGAAAAATTGAGCCCCCGGTTTACGGTCCTTTTGAGATCACGGACAGAATTGGGCGTGGGCCTACAGGCTGGCTCTACCTTCTTCAGCTCGTATACACAACGTTTTTCATGTTTCACATTAGAAAGCAACTTTCCAATTCCAAATAGTCAACCTTAACCGGCAGCCCTCAATAGATTTAGTGTTACAATTGGAACCTGAAGCGATTTCTCAAAAAAAGAAACTTCTGAATGGCCAGTGGAGTGTTGATCACTGGAAGCTTACCGTCCTATGAAAACACATGGGAGGATTTTGACATCATTCACAACCAATTTCCTTCTTTCCACCTTGAGGACAAGGTGTTTCTCCTTGGGGAGGTAATGATGACAACCAGGAGACTGGTATACCGTAGAAGAGCGGGGGTAAAGCAGAAGAATATTGCTGCACTTGTGCGTAAAAGGTTGAGTTTGTTAGAAGGACAGATGGCTTGAGGGAGTGAATATAGGAGAATTCAGTTAGGAGCACAATAGGTGCCAGGAAAGAATAAAAACAGGGGAGAAAGTAAGAAAGGAACTTTTGGAAAAGTAAATTGGAAAGGAGGCTGCTGACCCTCGAAGTCAGTATTTGGAGGTGGCTGACCCTCGAAGTCAGTCTGTTACTTATCCTTTGGGTTGTACTCTTTACTGCATTACGGATTATTTCTGAGTTGTTTTGCTTATTATATCGACTAGGATTGTTGAATATCCATTTTTGTCTGTGGATCTTTTGTCTGCTGAGATTAATACAACAAGTTCCTTACTTGTTTTTGAGTCTTTGGCTTGTGATGTGTATGGTTTGCTGGTATCTGAGTTTTGCAGACAGGTTCTATCAGAATCCAAGATGAATAATTAAAGTTTCAGCAGCACATAAAAAGGAAGACTCACCAAAAGAGAAGAAAGACAAACAAATACCATATAATCCATTGTCCATAGAGATTCCTACAGAACTTTTAAGGTTTTGGAAAGAATAGCATACTCCACATTAAATTTGTCAACACAAGCACATTTCAAAAACACAATGGAACACATTGGGCAGTGACCACAAAAAAGAGGGACCTTCAGCTGTTTAATCCAGACTGTGTGCTCAATCCAATGAAGATGGTCCAATAGATATCAGATCCCACCCTAATTTGAGTAATACTAAAAACAAAAATGACAAGTTTGAATGTTGCCTATAATGTTTCTCACATTCATAATAATAAATCAAATCATTAGTTGTAGTTGGCAGCATCCCCACATGCCATAGATTGAACATCCAAATTTATGAGGATTAATTTAAGATTGAGGTGAGTCAGGAAAGGCATTAAGCTTATCCACAACCAACTTTGTTTTTAATTTCCTTTCCCATCATACTATGGAATTCCAACACATAAATCAATCCAACACGTAACCAATTTATTTAACTTTTATTTTTAATTAACCTGTCAATCCAGCACATAAATCAATCCAACACAAACAAGATTCAAAGAAATCAAACACCAAGAATTACACACTCAATCTGCCGAATCAGAGCAATGCTTTAACCCAAGCCTAATCACTCAATAACTCTCTATAACCTGCAAGAAATCAGAGACCTATCCTAGCCTCAAGAAGGAAACGCAACCCTCTCACGAATCTACCCAGATTACAACGAGAAAGACCCCAGCAAAAAGCCCCAAATCAATTGCTCATTCAACACACAAGAACCCCAACAATATCAGACTAAAAAACCCGATAGTTGTACACCTTCTAGCTATGGTTTGCCTTTAGATTGAAAAATGTAAAGGGTGTTAACTTAAATGTAAAGGAGCGAGGAATGACGTACCTGGGTCGAAGAATGGAGCTATCTTCAACGAATGAAGTTGTCGCCGTCGATTTCCAGCGAGGAACGGAGCTGTCGTCGTCGATTTCTGGCGAGGGAGGAAGACGTCATCGATTTCCGACGAGGGAGGAAGACGTCGTCGATTTCAGAGAGTTCAAATGCGATTTAGGTGGAATTTCAGAGAGAACAGAAGACAGAGCCGAAACCGTGACAATTTTCGCAGAGAACAGAGTGTTTGCTTAGAAATTTTCGTGAGAAAAGAAAGATTGAAAGAGAAGAACTGAAGATTGAAGAAGACGAGAAAGGGGTGTGAGAATGATTGCGTCGCGCTTAGGATTTAGGGATTGTTAATATGGACCAGTTTTTCTGCCGATTCTAATATTATCCGATTTTATCCGGTTTAAAACGTTTTAGTGCTTATAATGGTTTTGAGAGTGAACCGAACCGGATACGTGACCGGTTCACGGTCCAACCGATTGGACTGACCAGTCCGGTCTGGTTTTTAAAACAATGGGCAGGTCACACTGTTCATTCCGTTTGATAACGGGTTTAAACGGTTTTTAATTAATAACGGGTTTTATATTAGTTCAAACCAGACACACAACCGAATCCTGATTGAACCGGTTAGACCGGCCAGTCCGGTCCAGCTTTTAAAACAGAGCAGAGCCCTTGGCTAGTTCAAGGCCCAATTCGGTTTTCAAAACATTGATTAGCATCACTTATAATAACAGAAAATTCAAAACGTAAATATGAAAATTTTGTATTGAAAAGATGTTCAAAATGAAATGATACGCAAAAATGCAACAAAATATGAGTTATACTACAGTATCACAAAATACTAGACATCAATTTGTCTGAAATACGAAACACAAGCATACTCTACCAAAAAACCAACATATAACCACAACCACTTAGCCAGAAAAATAAGTTTTAAGATTGATCACTTAAAGCACTTGGCGTCCAATAGAGCCTCTTCCTCAAAAGGCTCTTGATCTTCGATCATCTGATTCACCCGTTCCTTTTGGGATTCATCTGAGATGTCAACCTTCTTCCATTCATACAACTCCATGTCATAGCACTCATCAATGACAAATTGTGGAATTTCTTGTCCACGGAACAGCCACAACCCCTTGACTTTGAATGGAGGCTCAGAGCCGATCACTAGCATCTTTCCAAATGCATACTTGCGAGCGAGATCCATTCTTTGAAGGAATCCACCAACCTTGTTCAAAGTGACAAATGATACAGTGTTTTCGTCATTGTATTTGTAATCACAGAACCATAGTGAATAACCCTCAGGATCGTACATGTCCCAGAATCCTGAACACAAATTAGGTTCAAACAATGAATAACAATAATTTGGAGACATTACTTATGTAACTTATGTCTATTTCTATAAAAACAAAAAAGATGAATTCCAATAAACTAGGCCACAGAAAACAGGTAAATACTATGTGCATATATTTTGAAAATAGTAACCAGCATCACCGTTAAGCGTGTTAAATGATAAGGGAGGACAGAGTCAAATACCTTTAATAGCAACTTCACGGAAGTTGGTTTTGGTGTTCGAGTACAGTCTCTTCCACTCATCTAGTATCATCTTACTTGGGGGCAGCAGATCAAGAGGGTTCTTTGGCTTGGGCTTTGGTGCCTCTTCCTCCTCAGCAGCTTCAGCTTTGGGTTTCGATGCCTCCTTTTCTTTCTTTGGCACCTCTTTGGGCTTTGGTTTAGTTTCCTTTGCTGAAGCAGGCTTTTTTGCAGACTGAACAACTGGGACAGAATCAGTTTGCTTTACATCACCCATAATCTTCTTAAAATTTGGTTGGTTAACCAAGGTCCAAAAGTATCGCTCTACATGTGGGAACTCAGAGGTGAAACTCTTAGTCATGATACGAGTAAATCCCCAGTACAAGTTGCAAGTCATGATAATGTCAGCCAGGGTGACAGAGTGCCCAACCAAATATGTGTTTGAAGCCAAATATGAATTCAAAGCAGCCAATGCTCTCTTCAGAGCAGTAATAGCTGCTTCTTCAGCCTCCACATGTAAAAAAGTTAGACAAAATTAGGTCAAATTAAGTAGACAATGACATATTGAATAAGAAGTGGAAGATATATTTAAACATTTATAAAGTTTTCAACAAAAAATAAACTACTTAAATAGTGATGGAAACAGCGTGCTCTGTTTGTTTATATTAAACGCCCTTCGTCAACATTCTATAACTGTTTAGCTCCTTTTTTATTCATCCATTTAAATAGTAAGGGAGTATTGGGCTATTCTCTAGCTCTCTTTTATCAATATAACTTTCATAGTTTCTTAGCAGAAAAAATTTATATATATATATATACTCCCACAAAATAATAGTTCATTCAAAAGGTCCAAGTAGAAGCAACACAGTTGACATTTGAAAACACCATCCATGCAGCAATTGACTCACAAGTAGAAGAAATCCCGACAAAGCCAAATTATGAAAGCCTAAGTTAAGATCCAATGTAATATTATAAAGGAACAAGAAGGCAAGCCTTTTTTTTTTCTAATACAAAATTGAACTAGCAGACAAATTCATTCCAACGAAAAGAAATATGGTCAACTAAAATTCCAATAAGAAATAAGAGATAGAGAAAGGGGGGAAAGAGAGAGAAGAATGGCACAATTTAAAAATCTAAATTAAACACATAAGAAATAAGGGTGCACTTGGTTCATTATTCCGATACTTTTTAGATTAATATTTTGAAAAAAATAAAATTGGATGGTTATTACGATGTAGGATTTGAAAATTAACAAAAATACCCTCCTAGGTTTGTTTATTTACTAAACACCCTAATAATAAAATTTTGAAAATTAACAAAAACATCCGCACCCACCCATTAAATACCGACAGCCGGCCATCACCATCGAAGGGTGGCCGAAGTCGCTGTATCAGCGCACGACCAGCGGGATCTAGCCGATCGTGCGCCGATTTGGTCTTTTCCGACCAGATCCACGGTGGATCTAGTTGGAAAAGGCCAGATCTACAACTAGATCTAGCCATTGACGGAAGATCTGGCCGCATTTGGTCGTTAACGACGGCCAAAGATATGGTGGATCTGGTCGAGAAATGCCAAATCGGCAGCTAGATCTAGCCATTGACGGAAGATCTAGCCGCATTTGGTCGTTAACGACGGCCAAAGATATGGCCATCGTTGACGACTGGCTATAGCCAAAGATCTGACCGTCAACAACCAGATCTTTGGCCATAGATCTGGCCTTTTCTGGCCAGATCCATAGTGGATCTGACCACCTTCTAGTGGTGGTGGCCGAAATCTAGCAAATGTGGGTTGGTGGGGTGTTTTTGTCAATTTCTAAAAAAAAATTTTGAGGGGTGTTTAGTTTAATTAACAAACCTAGGGGGTTTAAAAAGAATTGAATAAAGTAGAATAATATTTTGAGAATAAGGAAATAAATGTTTATTTTGGATAGAATAGGGAATAGAGTAGTGAAAAATTGTGTACCAAAGGGGCCCTAATTATTTCTGGATATTTAAAAAAAAAAAAATTTGTTATTTGATTAAACCTTAGAAGGTCGAGAAAAACCCCTTTTCAATATTTGACATTAGCAAGATTTTTTTTTTTTAATTTTTTGATAGTATGTACTTAAGATAATTACACTATCATGAAAAAATTCCTCTTTGATTTGTATTTATCATTTAGAGAACACTTATTTTAAAACCTAAAAAGAGAAAAAAGATACAAGTTATATTTTATTACTTCATAAACACTTTAGGGTCGTTTGGTTCAAGGAATATTGTATTACTGGAAATGTTATATTAATGGGAAAATAGATTACCTTGAAGATTATTGAGAATGTTATTTTAAACATGTTTAGTCAGATTGGAATAAACTGATGGGTATATCATATTGATATGTTTGGTTGGGAGGAATAAAAGAATTATGTGAGAAACCTTTTACTGAATTGCCCTTCTTTTTTAATATTATTATTATTTGGATTATCTTTAACCCCCCACATTTGAGAATTTAGCTAAAACACCTTTGCCACAATAAAAATTTAAAATTTAACAAAATACCCCTAGCCACCCAAGACCATTGCCTGCTGTCGTTGGAACGGCACACGACCAGTCAGATATGGCTGGACATGCACCAATTTAGTCGTTTCCGGCCAGATTCATGGTCATTTCTGTTAGAGTATGTGTCTTAAAGCCAATTGTATATTGTAAATTGACTCTATGTATTGTGTTATTCTATTAATAAAAGACATTATTTATATTATATAAATCATATTCTATATGTAATAATAGATGTCCTTAGAGTGGTGGAATTGTGATGAGGGAACCAAGCAGTTATAAGTCTTGATTGTGAGATCCCTATGAGCACATATGGTAACCGTTCTAGAAACATCTATAGCCCCATTATTATTCTTGTTAGAGTTGGTGCCCTAGAGTCAATTAGATATTGTATATTGACTCTATGCATCGTGTTATTTTATTAATAAAAGGTATTGTTTATATTATGTAAATCATATTCCATATGTATGTGATAATATATGTCCTTAGAGTGGTAGAAATGTGACAAGGGAATCAATCAGTGATAAGTCTTGATTGTGACATTCTTATGAACATATTTGGTGGCCATTCTAGAAACGTTCATAACCCCAGTATTATTCTAACTTAGGGAACAACTAATACAGTAAGGCTATCATAGCGTTAAACGACTCCGCCGGAAGGTATTGACATATCTCGCATGTCAAAGTTGTTTGGTGACAATTTGGTGTGACACATAAGTGCTTGTTATTCACAAGTTCACTAGATTGGCCCATATAGAGGATTCCATATAGATGGTAGCCTCAATGTCTATGGAATACATCCTCTAACGGATGGTGGTGCATTTGATCCTTAGACTTGAGATCACCAGAGCGCCATGTGTAAATATTGGTGTAGTTTGACACTATCTAAATGTAATCCTATCTAATGTTATCAGTATGGCAATGATTGGCTACATTAAGAGATACACTATGGCTATGGTGGGTCGACAAATGATTCATCACTCTTGGGTATAGGAGAAATTATCTCGGTGAAATATTCAATAAAAGGCAACGACTTAAATCTGTGGCCACAGTGGAATCGAGTTGTTGCTCGTTTGGTCGATTGATCCGATAACTGAATATGAATATGTTAAGGTGGTTCATACTTGATGCTGACATTATTTTTGTGCTTCAAATCTTGATGAGATAATAGATGATTAAAGGATTGGATTGCCTGGTAACCATACCGTTGACAGGTAGCGAATTCGCTGAATTCAAATATGTCGGGTGGCCATGATGCCTTGCTAAAGGCAAATCTTGGTCTATGTGTGATGAGACGATTAATAGGGTGTTAATCGCAATATTACTCATTGTCAATATGATGAGGAGCCTATGGGTCACACTCTTAAAAGACAATTTAAGGAAGACAACGAATAAGGGGCAATTTTGTCTTTTCAAGAGGAAAAGGTATTTTGGTAAATCTTATGGAGCAATTGAATTTGCTGGAAATGTTGTCGCATGTATCCAATTTCATATTGGATTTAATTTGTAAGATTGAATAATTATTTAAATATATATATTGGTGTATGTATACTTTAAATAAATAGAGAATCATTATTTAAATATATATTGGTATATATATGTTTTAAATATTGAATTATTATTATTGAATGAATAAAATAATAATTCTTAAATCCAGTCTAACTTCAATTAAACCCCAAGAATTCTTTCTTGGGGACTTAATTATATCTAATTATTTAGGATTAAATATTAGATGGGGGATATTTTTGGAATATATCCCAAATGGGAGATTAGTGTTGCCTTATAAAAAGGGCAACTTTCCCTAATCTCTCATAACATTGAGCCTTGCCGCCCAAGCCAAGAAAGAGAGAAAAATTTCTCTTAGAAAATTTCCTTCTCTTTATCTTCCTTGAACCACCTTCATCACTCTAGCAAATTGATCTTGTGTGGATTCTTGGCTTTGTGTGGATTTTCATTCGTTCACTTCTACTCTTGAAGTGGTAGCGTTTTCTACAATCAGTTGAAGGAGCCACCAACGTTTGGTATGAAATTGAAACCTTGAATGGTTTATTATTATCTTTATGGGATGTAAATAGCATTTAATCTCTTATAAGGATTTTGGGCTTTAGGTTTTGATCAGTAAATTTTTGTTTTCCACTTCGTATTACTATGATTAATTCCTAATAGTGGTATCAAAGCCTCTTTTATCAGATTATGTTATTTAATTTTTGCTTTTAATTGTGTGATTTGTTGATTACATGATTTGGGTTTTAATTTGATTAATTAGATTAAAATTGATTTTGTTGTGTTGATTGAAAAATTGCATCTGTTCTAGATTATTTTAATTTTTGTTGAAATTGAAATTGTTGGAAACCCTGGATGCACCATTGTGTGTAGTGGTGTTGGCTGTCGTGCGTGGTTACGCACGGAAGTGGCATGACAAAGGCAACAACAACGCTCTTGTGCGCTGCTATTGAAGCCAACACCGCGCACAGTCGCGGGCAATTGCTGTGTGTTGGCGCATGCAGCAGCCGTGAGCTGCCATGCGTAGTGGGAGTGTTGATCGCACGTTTTAACAAGCGGCCTTGGCCAACGCCCATTACGGCATTTAGTAGCCATGTGCAAAGGCACATGACCACTACTCCAGTAGCTCCGCGTCACCACGCGGGACTGTTGTTACTTCCACATTTAACGCTGCCGCGTACGGAGGCTGCCTTGGGCTGAAAGTTGTCGCAAAAGGCTCAGTTTTGCTGGCTATGTGCTTTTACATATAGACTTGACCTGCACTTATGTATTCATACAAGTGTTAGACCCGTTGTGTGTTTTTACGCACAACAGTTCTTTTTGGGCAGCCTGCTATTCTCTCCAGGGAAATCGCCCCAATTTTCACTACGGTGCATATTTTTGAGTGATTTAAAATTCCACATCGCTGCATGTATGAGGATCGCGTTGGTTGGTTTTTGGACTTGTGTAGCATTTTCATTTTATTTACAAACAGTCAACGTTGGTGCGCTTTAATTCACTAC